TTTTCATCTCAAGAAAGGCATTACGATTCATTAACATGAAACAGAAATAACTCACTGATTCTGATGAGGAATCCGAAAATTCCAAGCGCACATTGCTGATCTGTGGATTCGGGCTGCTAAGTTGTATCACCTTCAGCTTGTTGATGAGAAAATCATGGGAAAATGTGATTTTAATGGACGGTTCGGGCTGTTGATTTATGTCAAAGACAAAGTCTATACTTCCAGCATCAATTCTGCCATCAATAGCACCGCCACATGCTGGGTTAGAAATAGGCGAACAAATTGCACCATTTCTCTTGGCGGCAACGTTCAAATGTGTACACTGAAGCCAACCTGGAAAAATAGGGAAAGCTTTCTAGGCCAGCTATTTGAACAAACGTTTGACGTTGTATTGAGCCACATCTATCTCGTTGATTTTTGTGAAAAGTGTCACGACGGCTTACTGCTAACACCAAAAGAAATTCTTACTTCAAATGACCAATCCGGCATGTAGAAATCTGAGTCGTGGTTCACCTACTACCTAACACTGCGGTATTTTTACCCTTTCGACTCTCTTCTTTCGGCCTGAGCTATCCCTGGGCTATTCTAACAACACCGGCATCCCCATGTCCCCTTGTGAACCACGACTGTTTAAAAGTTAAAGCATGGCCGTTAGTTTACGAAGATGAAATAGTTTTGGGTAGTTCATCTTTTTTGACGTTTCTACTGTATTAACGAACGCCTTATCATAGGTATCTGAATTTACTTAGTTTTAGAATCTATATGAAAAGCTACAATTAGTTAATAGTCAACTTACGTTAGAGCTTGTAGAACTTGACAGAATATCAGATAAGTACTAGAGGTATGAACCATGAGTACATGAAACCTTACGTACCACGCTGAGAGTTCCGGGAAGGTCTTGCACAATATTGCAATTAAGAGGAACGGTACATGCAAACTGATTGAATCGTTTAGTAAGCAAATTTCGGATTCATTTTAAACTATTAGAGGTAACAATACACCACAAGTTTCCTTGTTCTTTGAGGTCATAATTTCTTCCTACCTTTCTACAGTGGAAGATTCCGAAGATGTTCCGAAAACAACAGAATTTTCCGAATGATTCAGTACCCTATAGGTCCTAGAGCATTAGAGTGCTTTGAACGGAACTTCTTGAAATTGAAAAAAAAAAAAAACAAACAAACAAAATGAAGACAGTTAAACAACGAAATACCGAAATTAATTCGAACGTCACGTTTACCGGCTTAAAAGTGAAAGGAATGAGCAGTCCTGATGAATGAGTAAGGAGAAACGAGGTTTTTTGTATAGGTGCGAGAGATGTTTTGCATGGATCCACTGCAGCAGGTGTTAATATGAGTGATTCTTACGCAACAAGGAACTTATTGATATCACAGTCTTAACTTAAGACCGATGTGTTGAACACTCTAAAATATGACAGGGTAACTCCACTCTGAACGACACCGACTTTGGTTATTTAAACGTCAAAATCTACGGCAATCTTTATAGCCTCTGTCATCTCTAATTGTGAGTTTTCCTCGGTGTATGAAGCAGCGGAACTATTCGCTTTTTCTAGTCGCTCTGTGCGGTATATTGTTTCGACCTCTTTGATTTCTTTGTCTTTAGTCACTCGGGAACTTAACAGATTTTAACATCGATGATGATCTCTACGTTTACGTTATACGCCGTCACATGTTATTTTAATTTGCATCATGATGAGTACACTGCAACAGAGATCCATTGATAAAAATGGGCTCCAAGCTTTCTTTTCAATTAACTTTCAGTAACAAAATGTATTTTCAATCATTTTTGTTCCTTTTTTTTTGTTTGCTATGTTTGTTCTGTTTGCTTCATTTCAGTTTTTTTTGTGTCGTAGCCAGGTGAACATTTATTGCACGATCTTACAGCGATGTGAATCTTTTTTCTTATTGGCATGAATTTCCACTAAATTGGAGAGCAAGAATGGTCAAAGTTTGTGCAGACCTCCTGGGTTCAAGTAACAACAAAACTTTAAAAACTTAACTCCTGAGTGAAAAAAAAGTAACTAAAGGTTATAAAAGATCGTATGTTTCGCTCTCTTTGCGGATGAAAGAACTCAAGCTAGGCGATTTGACGAAAAAACGTGTTGTAAAAAAGAAAGGAAACGTGGAAAACAGCTTGGGAGTGAAAAATTTTTGCTAAAAAATTCACTCAAATAATGTTCATTATTTATTCATCATGCTACTCTAAGTTTTTCCTAATCGATCATAACAGGACTATCGATTTAGTTCGAAAACGTTTTTGCCTCCAGAAAAACCAGCAAAACAATTGAGATTTGGAATCTAGATGGCCGTTTCATTGAAAATCAAAATTAATGTAGAAGACAGTTTTGTAAAAATCTGTTTACCACTATACAATCTAACCAAACAACTACCCATTTGTTGGTAATCGTGATTGACTCTATCAGGTCGAGTATATCTACCCAAGTTACGAACATTCTCTACTTACTGGGAACTTGATCGCCGCAACTACTTGAGCCCTATAAGAAAAAAAAAATTCAATAAACTTAATTGACATCTTAAAAGCAATTCGACGAGGGAATAACTATCAACTGTACCAGAACAACTTTAAAGAAAGTTGCGATAAGAAGTTGGAGTAAAAGAGGAGATCTCCCCTGCATTCTGACAGCAGTTTTACTTGAAGACCTACGGAGCCGATTGACGGTTTCTCTTTTGAATATTTTGCCACCGTCAGGTATGAATCAATTTCAACTAAATGACACAGTGAATGTAGAACATTCCCTGATTGGCTGCACAAAACTGTTCCAATATAGCTCAATCAAACATAAAACCCCCGGTGCGAAGGCAACTCAGTTCATTTCAACCTCAGTTCTTTCAACCCAATTCTGATTGTCACCGTGCTGATACTGAATTTATAGCATAATTATCATAGTGTCTTTCATGGAATAGTATATGATAGACTAATAGCATATCTGTCAAATTTGCATCAAGATGAAACAATACTTGTATAACTGCAACTGTTAATAAAAACATTGATGAATACACGTTAAATAAAGACCTGTACTTTAATGATGTCCAACTTGATAGAGAAAAATATTATGTGGCTAAATCTATTTCAGATTACGTGCTGAAACACCTTACTTCTCAGACACCATTAACTAAGTTCCATCTTGTCTCAAAGTTAAAAGCAGTAACTCTTGGATCAAGACTAATCTTAAATCACCTGAACGTGTCGCTGATTTATGAGAGCTGAAATTAATTATTTAACGTCTAAATTCATTTCGTACATCTGGCGACACGAGAGACCCCCGAGGAAAGACTTAGGTGTAAAAATCACTTTAATTTTGGCTTACCTACTATTCAAAGCACCCCTTTACGTGTTCAAATTAAAACACGGCTTTTGACGAGTTAATAAATTTATTCTACATGAATAAGTTAGCTTTGCGAGCGCCAAGAAATGAAGGTTGGTTTAGTTGTCAAACTCGTACCACGCTTTTTTAGTAAAACACAACATGTAATCATAAATACTCAGTCTAAGATCTTCTCTGAGTTGAGTGTAAATTCTGAGAATGTCTCCAACGACCAATATTATAGCTCAAAACTCATACAGTTGTCCAGTTATTGGAAAGGCAGTTAAAATGTTTCTTTTGACTTTTTAAGTTTTAATAAGAATTTAGAAACCTGGTTTGAATTTTCTTTTTCTAATGAGTTCTTTTTAATAAAAGACCAACCAAAAAATAAACAATGAAAGTTTCTGGAAAGTCATACTATTGAAGGACAATTTTCAGCTCGCTTGGCGCTACCTCACTCAACTAATCAGCCGTTATCAGAATGTTTCCGCCCCACCTAAACAACATGAACCAGTCATCGTTATTGATTTTAAGCTGCTTCTACAATTTTCACTAGGATTTTTCTTTTCTTATATACGTATAATTTCTGTGTTCCGTATTTTGGCCATCGCCTTGAACGAGAAGCACGGAAGGTCTTATGAAGTGTTCAAGTACCAGCAGGTTTTAGAAGCTGCAACAGTTCTTGATAAAACTGATTATCTAAGAAAGGACGACAGCTCATTGCACCTAGCTTTTCTTTTGCACTACTCAGTTGAAAGTGTTTTCGACGGTAACTCCACTAGACCTTCCATGCAAGCCAGGCGATAAAATTGCACGTGCGTATCTTGCGTTTGATCAATTAAAGAGTTCTACCCACTTTCTTCGCGCAACATTAATAGAGCACTTTTGTATCGTCTGAAACGTGTCTCAAGCTGTTATCTATCCGTTATTTGTGATTGCTAATGAAAATGTTTTCACCCGAATTTAAAGCATGACCTCATTTATTGCAAATTAATTCAAGGGGGTGGGCGCAAAACTCAAACCATAAGGTACCTGCTTGATTGAGTTTGGTTATGGTTGCGCCATATCGCATTAATCTTTGAAAACACAATTTACTTCTGGAACAGAATAAAAAGTGCGTTATTGAAATTCAAATAGAAGTCGAAGCTGTGGTAATTGCTTGATCAAAGGAAATGTTAAAGTCCGCTGCAAGGTTGGGGCAAAGAAAACTGCCGATTTTGCCCGCGAATGTTTAGTGTTATGGACAATTCGTTTGTAGGCCAGGCCTTATTACACTTGTCTAATATAAGATAAGCGTGCCTCCTGCATGCTGGATTAGCTGATGTGTCTTCTGTTTTCTAATAGCTGGCATAGTTAATGTGGCTGGTAATGTTATGAGTGTTTGCGAGGATGCACAGTTACCCTAGAAACCATTCTTATCAAGTTAAGAACTTCCCTTCGAAAAATTGTAAAAAAATATTTATTTTTCCAGAATTGCATTTGAAGATGTATTTCTTTGAGATACTAAGGAGCATTTATCCGGCTTTCATTAAAAAAAAACTTAAATTTCATTGTTCCGTTTGAGCACTCATTGCGAGCGTATTTTAAAAAGGTGATCGCCTAAGACTGGAACCGAGTCACGTTTCATAAAATTCAAATGAAAACATCAACGCCGGAGTACACGTTTCAAAAGTCCCCTTCGATCAGCTGATTAAACACAGCAAAATTTCACTGACTGTAAATCACAAAGTGATCGCTGTAAATGGCCTTATAGTCGTTAGTAAAGCATCTGATATGGAACTCCAAGGATTTCAAAGGAAAAAGAAGCCGTCTCTGATCAACCGTTCGGTGCTACCCACGAAGTTGATCAACTTGTTTCTGTCGGCTGGTGAAGCGAATCTTCTGCCGTTTTTGCCGATGTTTTATCGTTTTATTGGATTAACAGCTCTTCAAAATGGTGTGCTGGGAAGTGCGAGACATTTGGTATCTTTCTGGGCCTCCCCTTTGCTACGGATTATCGCCGAAAAGACAAATAAGAGAAAGTTTCTTTTTCTTGTCTTACTCTTAGCCTCAGTGATTTCCAATATTTCCCTTGGACTAATAAGCACGCCGGTATCCACAACAAACTTCCGGGCTTATAACTGCGAGAATTTAGAACTTAATCACAGCATTTCAAGAGTCAATGGATCCGACATGAATCACCTAAACGCTTCAACAAAGAAGTCATCAGGAATATCTACAACAGGTGCCATCAATGATTCACTCGCCACATTATTTCCAAATCAGCGGCTAGCTGCAATGGGAAATTTTACGCCGTTAAATGACAATACGTCAACGATAAACAAACGATTTGACATTGGATTGCGGAAAATTAAACGAAGTGACTCTACAAACAATGGAAATATTTTAAGCCTTCCGGGCCTACCGCCTCTGGCACCCCAAGTTAATAATTCAGCAGGCACACATAACAAAAGCCAAACCGACTACTTAAATTATCAAGTGCAAAGCGAATGGTATGGCCTCTACGGGTTTAGAATGGATTACACTTTTAACGTTCTATTCATTTTAGTACTTTTAAGTGAACTTTTTATGTCCTCTATGAAAGCAATCATTGGAAGTTTGTTTTTTGACCTAAACCGACAAAACAAAATTACTCGCTTCGCTTACAATTTCTGGACATCTTTAGGAACAGTTCTTGGAGGTGGGGTACTTATTATGGTCATAGGCTATTATCGATGTGATTTTGGCCTGATAAACAGTTTCTACTTACATTTTTACATTTTTGCAATCTTTGGAACTGTATCCTTTGCTTTAGCTGCACTCTTGAAGGAACAAGAGCAAAAGTCAATCCTGGTTCTAAGATTTGCAAGGACCTGTGGGTATCTCTGCTGCGATGTAAACATGATATGCTTCCTTGCTGTGTTGCTAGTACTGGGCATAGCAGAGTCTCTGATGTACAACTTTATGATGTGGTACCTACAGGACATTGGAGCATCAATTGTTGTTATGGGTATAATTTTAGTAGCAAGTGCATTCTCCGAAATTCCAACGCAGTACATATCTACACACTTAATTCGCTGCTTTGGTCATCACTGGGTAATATTTGTTTCTCTCTTCTGATATGGAGGCCGCTTTCTTTATTTTTCGTACTTTAAAAACCCCTGGCTTATTATTCCCATAGAACTTCTTCATGGTCTTTCATATACAACAGTTCATATGGCTTGTTCATCATATGCAGCTACAGTGGCCTTTCAGGGAACAGAAAAGACACTCAAAATCATTTTCTCCACAGTATACCATGGTTTGGGTATGGGAATTGGTGGTGTGGCTGTGGCACTCTTGTATCAAATTTATGGCCCTGTAATTATTTTTCGCTGTGCAGCAGGAGTGTGTGGTGTATATGCACTGATTTTTGCCATGCTTCAGTGTATTCTTGTACTACCTGATGGAGACAGGAGTGGGGGAAAAGTTATGGAATATCAACAGATTAGTTTGAATGGAGAAAGAGGTGATGTGCCATTTCAGGCAGACTGGTTAATGGAAGCTCTACAGGCTGCAGAGGAGGAAGGACAAGAAGAAACTCATTTCACAAGATAATTAGTTAAGATGACCAGAGTTCATAAATATGCAACTGTCATTGTCTTTTTTGAGAAGTTATGAATTTGAAAATACTTTCCTCCATATAAAATATTATAATTTTAAGAGAAATAACTTTTCGTCTATGGATGCTGTATTTCTACCCACTCACCTGGAATCTAATGTAAAGAAACATGGTACAATTAAATTATTTGCTGGTACTTTGTCTCTCATTTTTTTAAACCTTTGACTTCTAATATGCAATTTTAAATCTCCTATTTGGCTGATATTCAATTGCATGTTGAATGGTTGAGATAATTTTTTTGTACTATCAAGATGGTACTCTCTCACTGACAAGGCTAGTTATTCCCATCACCTCTTAATCACCTCTTTGTTGGATGATGTATTGGCAGTTATAAGGACATACACAAACTGGAAAGTACATGAAATATTTCTTTTCAAGTTTGTAACCCATGTTATCTTGAAATGTTCAAATTGGAAATTAAGGGATTATGTATTTACCTGTATATAATATGCACCCATGTATAAAACGCACCACGATTTTTTACCAAATTTTTCATAAAAAAAGTTTTCATAGCAAAAAACAGGTTAATTCTTCCTACAATATTTATTGAGAGAACAATACTTGCATTACTTATGTAACAGTGACTAATTACAAAAAGGCTGAAAATGATAACAAACAGCCTTGCAAAAAAAAGAGTTTCTACACGAAAAAACCTTCAAAATTGGACACTGAGTCTGACTGATAAAGTTGGTCGAAATCAAGTTCGCTATTATTTATATTGTCCTTGGTTGAATTATAGACCATATCGTCTTCGGAACCATGTAAACTGCTAGTAATGCCACATATCAAAAAAGAATTCATGATCGTTGCTGCAGGAATATCACTTGATCCATGCCTTTGCAATCCAAATGACTCACAATTTGACCTTTCACGCACTTAAACATCGGTATGGATACTCTCCGTAATGTTTTCCATACATTTCCTGAAATGCTGAAAAGGAGAATTTGTTTAAGAATCAATGGCTACTTTTAGTTAATTTGTGATGATTTCGTTTATTCTTGTGACGTTAATGTGACATTGATTGAGGGCTGGTATTTAATAATAAGGAGAACCAAGAGGTTTTTGTTACTCTTAGGGGTTAATATAGGTGCATGGAGTCCAGTCATTTACCTTTGGAAATTTTGGGGAAAAAGTTCTTTTCCCCATTATTCATACTGCTTAAAGTTAAAAAAAACTCAACACATTGAAATCATACCATCAACCAGCCACTGATATGGTCATCTTGTGCCACTCTTTTAACCATTACCTTGCCTTACCCATTTAGTAATACCACCTCAGTGTATGAACCACTCTGAATTGAAATTTATAGACAAATACTTGGGGAATATATAATTATATTCACACCAGTTTTGCCTTGAAAATAAAAATGTAATATGATCTTAAATACATCTTTTGAATCAAAGGCCAGTTATTGAAAAAAATGTTACAGTCAGCCTCTCTGAGTTTAGTAAAAATATTATTGCCATGGCAAAGGTGTTATTTCTTTGAAGCATCCTTAGTTCTTGACTGTGGTTGTACTTCACCCTTTACACCTTATCATCAGTATGTATATTCTCCATACTGTTCTCTATACATTTCCCAAGGTTTTGACAAGGAGAATTTGTTTGACAATCAAGATAATTTTTACTTGGCGATCATTTCCTTTAGTCTCATGACCTTGATGTGTACTTCAGAGGTGATGTTGTAACTATGATTGTAAGGGGAAATTAGATGCCAGTGACTCTTAAGGGTTATAGGATCAGAGATGAACTTGGAAAGACAAACAACATGTATATGTCTCTCACTTTTTATCCACCTCTTTGCTTTTAACATGACTCTGTATTTTTATTATCTGTATCACTACTAACTGTTCCAAAACATGGGGCCATAAATTCTCTTAGTGCCTATTGTAGAAGTCTAAATTGTTGAACACTAGCAAACTAGGAATAAAAAATCATGTACTGTAACACTTAAGATTGACTGAGTATGTATAATGTTCAAAGCTTCTTTTAAACATTTCTTCATCAAATTTTCTTTGTCAATGAACTGCCCTGGTAAAGATAAATGTACTTCAAGTTGCAACAAGGTTTACAATCATAAAATGAAAAATTAAATGAAGAACTTGAATCAAGTTAATAATATCGATAAGAACGATTAAATCCATAATTAACTCAAAAGACAAACATTAATTTTTAATCTCTACTAACATGAATTTAGACATTGATAACTGAGTAGCCTAGACTGGGTGCAAGCAGTTTACATATTATTCTTCCCTTTAGGATTGAACAATTTGTTCAGCAGGCAAGTCATAAGACTTGGATAGGGCCAATGGCTATGCACCAACCTACTGGGATTAACTGCACAGTTACTTTAGTATACTGCTTAGATATCTGAGCACATGTTATCAGATATCAAGAAAACAACAAGCTTAATTGTAGCTTCTAAGAAAGTATTAGTTTTTTCAAGAAATGACAGCTTGTTCAATAAACATCAACCAATCAGAGCTTTTATATCACTGTCACTCTATTAACTGTAAATAGACAGATGGGATATGTTAATTCTTGGCTGTGACTTAAATGGATAATCCAAAATCAGGTTTCTGAGTAAGGACTGAAACCTATTATTATTTTTCAGTAATTAAGGATATGAAAAATAACAATAGGTTCACAGACACACAATATTAATGGCATGTTATGGATAAAATGAAGAAAGCAAATTAAGTCAAACGCTGGACTTCTTCAATTTAACAGCTATAAAACGAGTATTTAATGGACAATATTAGACCTCCCACCCACCCCTCCACAACAGCTAGCTCCTATCCCTGCTCCTACCCCCGACGTGTAGCTCGTTGTAACGAAGCAATGTGTTCAGTGATCATCGTGCCTCTTTGCATTGAGTTGCTTCGATGCGTCATTTTTGGGGGAAGGCTACAAACTATTTTTACTCCGATAAATTTTCTTTGTGCTACATGAAATAAATCAATGACCAAAAGTATATGCAATTCTTCATGATGAAAGCGTCTTTTTAAGTAAGAGACTTACAACTATTAGGTGGGACACACACAAAATTGCTGCTTTGTATATATATATTTTTAATCTTATATTTTTTTCGGATTTTTCTACTTCGATCGAGCTAAGCAAAGCACTTGATCGACCTCGCATACTTCGCAGCCGAGACACTCCAACCTGGCTCTCTGAGCTTTGGATACAATTTCCAAACATCCATTCATTTATGATTGACGGAGTGGACAATGGTCTGTAGAATTATTCAAATACCTTTTTATAAAGGTCAGGTCGGCCAATAACAAAGTTGTGCTGTGTAAAAAGATCACAACTTAACCCTTTTCCAACCGGCAAAAACCTTACAAAACTTAAGCTCACTTTGGTTTTCGTTATATGAAGTAACCCTTACAATATTTGCGGTTTTGAGACACCGTGGGTTCAGACTTTAGGATCACGTGACCTAGATCACCCGCTCGTGTTTGGCTGCGTTCAAATCGATTCGTTTTTTCGCGTTTATAAGTGTTTTTCGAGCCATTTTCCCTTTACAGAAGCCCTCAGGACAGCATCATTAAGCTGGAATGTGGGTAGAGGCAAGCCTCTGAAAGAAAACAGAGGTGAGAGGTAGTTTCATGTAGACTGGACCGCCAAAATACTTTCATGCAAGGAGGGGGGCATTGGGGCCTCTCTGGGAAACCGCAAAACCGGAGGAAAAAACCTCAAAAAACCGAAAAACCGACGAAAAAAGGCAGCAAAACCGAAAACCGCATGCAAACCTGACAAAACCGCTACATTTTCGCCTCTAAAGGGATCAAAAAGCAAAACCCGAAAACCGCATCAGAGTTTTCGTGAAAACCGAATGCAAAAACACGTAAAATCCGCAAACCACTCTGAACATCAAAACCGAACCTTTTTAGCTCAAATACCGAAAAACCGATCCAAACAACAGTCTAAGCTGCAAAACCGAAAATCCCAAAGCCCCCCTCTGCAAGCTTGGCGAGTCCACAAGTGAAGTCGTGTCTCTGGCCCATCTGTGGATGGCTACCAGGACCTACCAAGGCTTTTTGGGCCAGTTTGGGTGGCAAAAGTCTCGATCAATGTGATGTTTTGCTGGTAGGACTGGGTGGCCCGACACGATGCTAATAATTTGTTAAAATGGAAATGTGAGGTGTTGCCCTCTCGAGTTGTGCTGGAATTTCCCAGAACTCTTTTCGGGCATAAACGAGGCAAAGGTTGTGTTTGCGACACTAGCTTTCGTCAAAAGGAAGAACAAGGGCTAGCGGATAAAGTGAGAAGGCATTTTCCAGCCAAACAGCAAGATCTGGCCCTGAGGTGTGTTTTGAATGCAAACTTTTGATTTCTTGAGCAAGTTTTGATCTTAAAAGATCGACACTTTTTCAGTGTTGCTCTTGGAGCAGAATGCTGGATTTTTGGGATTTGTTGTTATATGAACGGTTCACTGCAATGGAAATCGGGGATCATTGTGGCTGTTTTAGGCTGCATTAGGTGTCTCATCAAACAGCCTTGCAATGTACAGACTTACATAATGTTTTCTCTTAATTTCAACAAGAAACAAATAACAACAGTAGTTGGTGTTATGACACCCATATATGCGTGGCTTGCTAGAAAAGGGTTAAAGGCGAAGATTCTTGCCATGTAGCGTGCGTCTCGAATTTCGCGCACTCACGCGCGTTTGAGTTTTAGGTAATTTAACTTAATTTAGTCCATTTTCACTGCATTAAGTTTTGCAGTGGGGAAGGACTAGAAAGGAACATAGGAAGCATTCGTGCTAGTCCACCCTCCCACCCATCCCACCCCAGGGGAGGACATCCATCACACAGTAATCTCGTGTGCGGGAAATTAACGTCTCCAACCCCAACCCTGCAGGAGACGGGACCTCCATTTATTCGTCCCTATCCGAGAAGAGTAGAATATCTAACCATTTCTTGATGTTATAGAAAGGTAGCAAATTCTTCTCAATTATTTTAAGACCCTGAGTGTTGGTCCGGCCGGGGGTCGAACCCTCGACCTCCCGCACAATTGACCTCAGACTGTTGGGTTGCTGGTTATCCAAGGCTGAAATTTTTGCAGCTTTCGTATTTTGACGTCAATTAGGTAGGATTGTTCAATATCTGGAAACTCCAT